ATAACACTTAAAAATTTCATTAACACGTTGAGTGCCGTGTGGTACATCGGAGCATAATTTCATATCGTAATACAACTGGTACATAAATATCATTGTACCATCGGTGGCCCACGCGGAGTACTGACACGTTTTCAACTCGCTAAATAACATAATATACAATAAATGCAATAACGCAGACCACGAAAAGTCGTCACTGAACGTGTTAAATAACATTTCGAAACAATCTATCTTACAAACTAAATGATGAATAATATGTGGAAAAAATGGTATTAAGTATTTGAAAAGGTAAAACATACAAGACAACCAACCTCCAGGAGAATCATAGTCCCTGGAGTCGTAGGGGGTGGTGGGCCCGTCGTAGCAGTTGTTGTTGGTGCCACAATGGGTCTGATGCAGGGGCGTATGATGGGGCCCGTGGTGGTGGGCGGCAGGAGGACTGCACGGCAAGGTGGTAGGTCGTGCAGCGTCGCCCATAGACGCAGGGAGGCAGGGACTTAGGTCCCTCGCCTGGTCCACTGCACCGGGCCCCCCCGCGCTGCCGGGCCCCCCTTGACGCCCCACAGCCAAGCCGCTGCCACGCTCCTGCGAGCTGGCCGGCTGCTGGAACAAACATCACAATTCGAGGACATTAGAAACCTTCATAAGATTGACAAACGATCTTTCACGTTACTTATGATTAATAAGAGAAAAATGACAAAGAAGATAGAATAGGTAAGTACGATAGGTTGATGTTTTCAACGTGAGAAAAAGTTCTCTAGACGAATGGAACGAGACTGCTACGTTAATTGATCAGTATACTGCAATGTCGCGCGCGCACGTTAAAAGATTGTTCGACGAGTGTAGCGCGACACCGAAAGCAACATCGATGGTGTTTCACTGTTCACGCTTCGATGGACATATCGAAAAAGCGACTAGAAAGAACCGCGATCTATCGAATCTAACCGCAGTACAGCGTTGAAAAGAAGCACAGTCGATTTGCTCGAATGAAATTTCTCACACCTCCGCGCTTATTGTTAGACACCGAGTAAGTATCTATGTCATCGAGTGTTAAAACTCGATCGCTAGAAATCATCCGTCAAAAGAGAAGCACGCGGTGAAAGTGATCAAAGGAGGCACGTTCAATTAAACCTTTCCGAGAGAAACGAACGACTGTGATCTGTTCCGAAGAGAACAAAAGACGTCGAGAAAACGCCGCGTCAACGCTGTAGAAACGCCTACCCTAACCTATAATTTCCATCGACCCGAGCAGGCTCGAAAAAAAAAGAAAAAGAAAAAAAACGTATCCTGGTAAAAGTAACCAACAAAGAAGATACTAACCGTGAACCGAAGAAGGAGAAGAGACTTTCCACCATTCGAAGCTGACGAGAAGGGACCGTAAAGGACATCGTCGGAAGACGTCGCCGAGGATAACCTCCTGCGAACGTCAGACTGGCAACCGGAATAGGCGAAATAGGACAACAACCTACGCGGTACGGGGAACGCGTCGTCGACAGTGAACGGGGGGAGGGGGGCGCAGTATCCAAAGTGACAGCGGATTACGGCTCGGTTGACATCGGCAAAGGGCAACGGGGGATAGAGAAAAGGAGGAACAGATAAAGAGTGGCACGCCAGTGACGGCAGTAGCCGGTCGCCTCTGATGGATGTCGTAAGCCGGTGTGCGCATGCGCGCGACCCTATAAGGCGCCCAGAGCCAACCAATCCGAGCCGCCGCCGTGTTTCAACTGTCAACGCGGTTGCAGCGTACCGCGGCGCGCTCGAGACATAAATTACGCGGCCTGGTCCTCTCCTTCTTGTCCCTCTCTCTTTCCGCCTCCCCCTTTTTTTTCTCTCTACCCCTCTCCCTTTCTCCCCGCTGCTTCACTCTTTCTTTCTCTCTCTCTACACATTTCCCTTCTCCTGTTCGGTGAACCCTTTCTTCCCCATTTCCTTCTTCTTCTTCTTCTTCGTCTTCTTCTTCTTCTTCTTCCATCGCCGCGCTGCTCCCGTGGAAAACCAATGCCGCACTTTACGACACCAGATACCGGTATTTACTGCATCTCCCTAGAAGCGGCGCGTTTGCGATCGAGAACGAAGGGCGGCTAACTTCTGACCGTAGGATGTCGTAAAGATCGCGATGGTGGACGGTGACGAATTTAAGTTCGAATTCTATCGTACGGTGCCGGTATTAATGCCACGGCAGAGTGTCCTGGGGGATTTTTTAGAGATCCCTCAATCTAGGGAATTTTCGATTCCCCGATTTTAGTGTCGTTATTACTACGCGGGTTATTTAAAATGTTCTCGGTACACAGTAAAGGTGGCAATAGGGATTTCGAAATTTTCAGCTGATCAGAGATTCTCATTTGTCGCATAAATAATATAAATAACTATAGTATAGTGTGTCTCTCCTAACAGTTGACAGACATGACAAACACGATTTATTTAGCTGTCCCTCAGTTCCAAAATTCTTTGGAAGAAAAAAATTCTTCTTAAACGAGACAGTTAAGGAAACTGTCGACAAATATTTCGCATGTCTCGACGAACCGAAGTTTCGCGATGATGTAACGGTTTTGCATTCGCGTCAAAGAGGATTACGTCGAAAAAATAAAAATAATTTGCAAATGATACAAGCTGTCTTTCCATTCCAATTCCGAGATCTTTTCACATGACCCGCTCGTACATTCGATTCAACCAAGTATCGACAGCAGTTGTCGGGCAAAAAAGGAAAAGGAATTATCACCACGACGATCTTCTTATTAAATTCGCGTTCCAGTTGCGACACGGATACCGATTCTCCGATCGACTACAGTGGCTTCAATATTTTTCTATTTTTCTCTCTCTCTCTCTCTCTCTCTTTTTTCTGCTATTTCATCGACCGATTCGTCGAAAGATAATGGTCCGCGCGAGCCCGGCGTGCGCGCCAGCAAAGATCGATCGGATAAAGCGGGCGGAGCACGAGGCGAGGAAAAACTAATAGAAATTGCCGTGAGTTCGTTTGTTACGGCGGATTTTCACCCGTGCACAAACGTAACGATTACGCGGAGTTCTTTCTTATGTAATAAACCGGGTCGCGGAAAGAATCCATGGAACGCGCGTTTCGACGTGTCTTGCTGGGTGCTTCTGGCGTGCAACCTATCTGGTACCGTGGCTCGTTTCCATCGAAGATCATTGATTAAGCTTCGATTGGAACTTTGATTGGGCGACTTTCTTGCAGCTGATGTCTAGCCGCGACACCCCGCGGTGGTGAACTCGATTCCCCCTGGTGAATAATATGCGATTCTCGAACGAGTCGGCTAACTCGGCTTAACTGCGCGTGTTAAACGAATATCGCACAAGGATGATGTGTTGATTACGAATTTAGCTGCTTCTTCTTCTTCTTTTCTTTTCTTCCTCGTTAATTTAATTAATCCTCCTGCCCCCCTCTTTCTCTGTACTTTTCACATGTTTCCTTTATCGGCCGCGCGAATCTTAGATCTCATTTAAAGAAACGAGCGTGAAAAATAAATTATTCCACATTTAATTGAGAGATCACTATGGAAGATTATCATTTAGTAGGAAAAATGGATAATACACAATTTGTGTTATGCTAATGGGAATTCCTTTTGGTAACTATTATAGAATATTACGAATCATTATAGAACGCACAAATCGATTGTTATGCAGAGTTTCGTTCGACGATACAGCTTAATCTTTCGGTCGTTTATTGGTTCACCAAAGTGTACCGCGATAACCGCTGGTACATTACATCGTGCAAGAAGTCAACCGGGTTTTCATATATTGTTCCTCGCTTAATGTCATTATTAACCTCCGGCTGGAACAATGCAGCGCTTTTTCCAACAGCGAGGCGCATTTCTTAACACTCCATTGTGCTCTAACAGCCGCGAGGCGAAGATGTTCCCCGCGAAAGAACCACAGGTCGACGCTTTTCTTTCGACGTGGCTCAATGGGGGGATTTCCCAACCTTACACTCGTATCGGGCATCACGGCGAAAGAAGCGCCAACGGCGAATGCAAATTGAGATATTCCTTAGAGAACGCGAATGGAAATCGTATTTCTGTTCTTTTTTTTTTTCAAGCAGAATGTAAGTTTCTCACGAATGTTTTTTGTTGGATTTTGTTTTGTAACACAGTTGTACGGGGTTATCGAGTAGAATGAAGAGGTTAGGTCAGGTTAGGGTAATTGTTATGGTCGTGAGGATTGATAGGTACACTGAGTGTTATGTCGGCCATATTGGAATGATGCGTGAGTGTCTTCAAATGTGTGATTAATACACGAGTTTTATTTTTCGGACTGTGATATAGTGAAGCAGAGCTAGATAAAAAAATAGTTTAGAATGTATTCGTGTCAGCCATATTGGAATGATGCGTGAATTTCCTTGAAAGTGTGATAATTCACAAACAGATGAGTTTTATTTTTTGGAATGCAACATAGCGAAGTAAATATAAATATAAATATAAAAAGTATTTATAGTTTGTAAATTTGATAATGAGAAAGAACTAGTTATAGAGAATTGTAACAAGAGTAGGTGAATATGAACGACGTTCTCATTCCTGAGGCAACTCACAATTGGAAGATTTATGGATTATGGTAATAATTGTGTGAACTCGATATTACAGAGAACACCAGTGAAACAAGCATTTAATTTCTGTGACGATTTAAGTCAATAGCAATTGTTCCACTTGGAAAAATTCATATCGAACAATAGAATGTAAGGAAGGTACAGGAAGTTATAGTTATTTCTAGAAACGCGTTTAGATCGAAGAAACAGGCATTTAACCCTTTACCTCGTATAGAGAAGTTCCACAATTTACTTTGATGGAACGCATAAACTATACTGTTCTACTTGATGTGACTTTCTAAAATCCTCATTTAACCCTTTATCTAATAACAACAATCTTCGAAATTTACTTCGATGAAATCTAACAACTGTTCAAATTTCCAAATATCAGATTAATATTCTACTTTATGTAATTTGACTCCCCCAAAAAAAAGGAATCGAGAAAATCCACACAATTTTTCACCCCATCCCCAAAAATCTTCAAATTTCACTTTCAAGGAAGCCAAAAACTTTTCAAATACCCAAATATTAAATTAATATTCTACTTGATGTAATTTGACTTCCCAGAAGAAAGAAATCGAAAAAAAACCACAAGTAACCCTTCAACCTCTTTCCAAAAATCTCGAAAATTTACCTTCGAAGAATCGAAAAACTTCTCAATTTCTAAACATTCATCGCCGTCCCGCTTTATTTCACCGGAGGCTGAAACACGGCAAAGAGCGAAATTTTCGCGAAACCAGCGCACCACGATCCGCAGACCGCGGTGGCAGGACGAGTGTCCATTTCCAGAATTTCCCCGATCGGCGGGATTTCGTAAGAGAGCGAGGCAGCGCGCGCGCGAAACAGACGATCGATACGGGCATCCTATAAATTTCCCACGAAACGGCCCCGCGACCGGCCGATCGATCTTCACTCGCCTCGCGAGCAGATCCTTATCCATCTCGAGAGTGGACCTGCCAGGAGGCCGGTGCCAACCGACTGCAAAACAGACTTTCACTGCGGCACTATACTTGCACAAGACTCCGCCTTTTTCATTTTCACGAAACGTGAAGTAAATAACGAGCGC